AATAAAATCAATTATACCTAGAGCATAACATAATTAATAGATAATTAACACCACTAAGGGGTTTTAAAATGTCATACATTAGTAGTAAGCAATGAGTCATTCACACCTCATTCATACAGAGCAGTACCACTAGCTCTAGGGAAGCACACACACACACACACACACACACACACACACACACACACACACACACACACACACACACACACACACACACACACACACACACACACACACACACACACACACACACACACACACACACACTACGTACGTACGTACGTACGTACGACGTACGTACGTACGTAACGAACGTACCGTAACCGTACCGTAACTACGTACTACGTACGTAGTAGTACGTAGTANCTAAGGGGTTTTAAAATGTCATACATTAATAAACACACACACACACACACACACACACACACACACACACACACACACACACACACACACACACACACAGTGTGTGTGTGTGTGTGTGTGTGTGTGTGTGTGTGTGTGTGTGTGTGTGTGTGTGTGTGTGTGTGTGTTTATTAATGTATGACATTTTAAAACCCCTTAGTGGTGTTAATTATCTATTAATTATGTTATGCTCTAGGTATAATTGATTTTATTTGATTGCTTTTGATTTTCAGTCCATTTTTCTCTGAGAATTGTACAACTTACATTATCCCTATTATTAACATATTTTATTTACCACGTATATTTATTATCAGTAGATCAATCAATCAATGTTTATTTATGTAGCCCAAAATCACAAATGTTACCTTTGTTACAGTTTGTACAGAATATCAATAATGTTCTTTTGTTACCTAAAGAATCTTAAAAATCCATCGTTTTATTTGCAATGAAATGCGTAAATAAAAATGCAGTTTACGAAATACATTAACTTTCTTTCCTAATTGTGATTTACATATTGGAAACACATGCTAAATGACATAACAATGAAGCAAACTGAATAGAATATTGACTTTAATTGAGTGACTGTACCGTAGGGGTCTTTAATTGCATTCAATTGAATAAAGTCCGCCTGAAGCATCCTTTGTGCTCCAGTCGGTCCTCTCAGTGAACGCAGAGCTGACTCCAGATCAGATGCACGCTGAAGGCTCTTTGAGCAGCTCTCACTGATCCTGCTGTTGTTTTAAATGTTTGTTTTGTTTTCCATGTGCTGTGTCTTGATATGTGTCTGTTGATGTTACACATGGAGCTGCTGTGATGCAAGAAGCATTTCAGACTTGATCTCACCATTAAAGTATTATCGTATATCGTATCGTATTAAAAGGTAGGCTAGGTAAGAATGGAGAAAGCAACTCGAGTGCGCTAGAATTTGAAAAAACCCAACTGAAAAAAATCTGCCACTTCCTTCAGACTTCCTCACAGAGCCCCTCCTCCAACACACACGAACGCGCACATGACCAATGAGGGCACGAGATAAGTTTCAGCACAGATGGAAGGCTGACAGGCAGGTAGGCCATCCAGTTATTTTAGCCGGGCCGGCTCAGATGATTGGTCGTGCTTTTTACAGTACCACGGCTTCCACAGATGATATTTCTTTATGGATTTATTGTCAAAGCACTTCAGATATTCATTGCTATCGGGATGTTAAGAGCATTCCATGGAATATAACAAGTGTTTCTGAAATGAATTACCTACCCCACCTTTAATTGAGTGACTATAGCTTAGGGGTCTTTAACTGAACAGGTTTGAACTCACAGCGAGGACGAGCTGCAGGACGCAGTGCAGAACCTCGATGTTCTGGTGCCGCAGCCAGCAGCCCAGCTCCAGGTGGTTCTGCTGGTCCTGATGGTCCTGATGGTTCTGATGGTTCTGATGGTTATTTGGGGTTTTCTGCCACCCAGCGGAGGGAGGATCCCCCCCCTCACAGCCCGGCAAGTGGTCCTTCCACCAGGATCGATGAGAGGAAACTCCCAGAGAGAGGACGTCACTTTCCTGCAGACACGACAGGGGGAGAAACGGTGTGAAGACGACATGTTGATTCCTCCTGTACATAACTTATAGCTCCCCTATCATACTCTCTTTCATCAATATTTTATAGGTCTCAGATATATCCAGAGCCTGTCTCTGATTGGTTGAAACACCAAACAGATCATTGCAGCCTTACCCATAATCCCCTCTGTTTCAGCTCTGTTTCCAAAGTGCTGATTNTGTGTGTGTGTGTGTGTGTGTGTGTGTGTGTGGGTGTGTGTGTGTGTGTGTGTGTGTGTGTGTGTGTGTGTGTGTGTGTGTGTGTGTGTGTGTGTGTGTGTGTGCTTCCCCACATCTTTGTACTCTTTTATCCTGAATTTTAACTAAAGTCTTTCTAATCTAGTTAAAGAAACAAGATTTGACAAAAGCCACCAGTGAGAGAAGAATAACTGTTGGGCAAAGGATAAAAAAAAAAAAGATGAAGGGGGGAAGCATTTCTCTCCTTCTAGGGTCACTCATCGCTCACTCTCTCTCCCCTCCTCCTTCCCCTCTCTTATCTCCCCCCTCTGGTGGAGAGGCGCCAGTGGAACAGGACTGGTGTTTTCTTAACCAAGTTCATCCCTCTCCATTTTCCCCCTCACTCTCAAATCATAAGGCCTGTCACACACTGGGGGAGTACGCATGTAAGCATAGGGGTAGGTAAGTGTGTAAGACTAGTGCTCGGACAGAGTGCACACACGGCGCGCGCGCGCGCGCACACACACACACACACACACACACAGACACACACACACACACACACACACACACACACACACACACACACACACACACACACACACACACACACACACACACACACACACACACACACACACACACACACACACACACACATCCCTCTGCTGTGCTAAGCTTCACTCGGCCAGGCTGTCAGGGCTGGATGGGTATAAACATGGCCTCCCCCGCAGCTGCAGAGCCTCTCCGCCCCCCCCTCCCACTCTCTCTGTACCACTGTTGCTCATCCTAGTGTTACCAGTTTGCTTTAACAGCCTACACTGGCCAACATAGTTCCCAGTTGGTAGAACAGTGTGTAGCCATCACATGTTGCCATAAGATACAACCAAAAGCTTTCAGGCCAAACACTTTATTGATCCCTGTAGGGAAATCTCTCTTTTTGGTGAGTGTCTCCTCCACAGGGGATGAGGGTGCAGTGTCAGCTGCTGTAGAGATTCAGTGTCCTGCTCAAGAGCAGCAGCAAAGATGCTTGTCAACATGGAGGTTGGATGGAAATAATGACTTGCCTCTTGTTGGATCATTTCTAACTGGACTTCTATGTGTTCAAACTGTTCAAAATTGCAGACATTTAAACTGCTACAATACGAACAAACAAAGTCCAAATATTTAGAAACGACCTAATCATAACAAAAATGGCTGCCAATGCACATATAATCCCAGATGAATTGTCCAGACTAGAGACAATGGCGTAGATGTGTGCAGATGAAAGACCCAGAGAAAGTTAAACCGCCGATCAGTTCCTCTTCCTGTACGTCTGTGTTTTCAGGCCGTCGGGAACAAATGGTAAGGCCCCGGCAAAAAACACGTGTTCCGGGCTCTTGAGGTTCGAATAAAAACGACGCGTGTACATGAAACAGTGTGTGCGCGCTAAATGATTCATGAGGAGCAAATGAAAACAGGCTGGCATACAAGCGGAAAAATTGTCCGTCTGCATTTTAAATGAAGCCAGGGTCCTCTGACTCGCTGTATCATGATATCTGGGTCTGGAGTGCAGCGGGCCGGAGGTGAATCCCGTATTATATTCGTCGCATGATTTCAGGAGTGCGTAGAGAAATAGTACAAGTTTGATACAGAAATCTCAAATGATATGGTACATGATGGAGTCCTGTGGAGCACATAGGGTCCAGCAACACATAAAGGGAGAGTGAATCAATCATTTTTACTCATATTTGAGTGAATACGTCTTGAGGTTTAAGACTGGTGTGACCAGGAGCTTCCCCTGCACCTCAGAGTGTGAAACTGGCTTCAGATTAGCTGTCCTATTCTCAGAGCCGCAGTGTGTTCGTAGCGCTGGAGCTGCTGTGGCCTTCAGTGTACTGTCGGTTCTAAGAATAGGCAGCAGGGTCCAGAGAACATCTCGTCTCCCTGCCTCCCTCTCCCCCACCTACCCTTCTTTTTCTCACTCCGCATGCTCCAAATATATATTTGAAGTAGAACACAACATGGAAAAAAACTTGTTGTGGCGGCTAATGCGTAATTTGAGTATTCTCTAAAGATATATGTTTAATCATTTGTATGTGATCTTTGTATTTAAACTGAATGTCCAAACCACTATAAGGGACATATTTTTCTTTCCACAAGTTTCCTCCCCCCTCTCTCCCCCATCGTTCCCTTGCAATTCTTTGCTTTCTTGACTCCCCCCCCCCGTGCACTAATGTGGAGGCTGAATCTAACCCTGCTGGATGACATTACTCTGCGCTGCCTGCTGGCCTGTCTGCCTGCCTGGGGACTCTAAAATAAAACACAGCAGTGGGGAGAGCCAGAGCGAGAGCACATATTGTAGGCAGCCTGACTGACATGCTCTGATAGAGAACACACACACACACACACACACACACACACACACACACACACACACACACACACACACACACACACACACACACACACACACAACAACAAAAATGACTCGCAGAGGACAGAATGTGTATCAAAGTGTGTGATGCGTGTGTGTTTGTGAGCAAAGAGGCCTGTGTGAGTGTGGCCGTGGGGAGAGAGGGAGAGAAGGGAGGGGGTGTGGAGGGGGGGTAGGCCTCTCCAGCTGTGCCCTGTCAATCATTCATGACCTAACACTCGCAAAAACAGAGGAGGGCAAGGTGGACCGGCGTGAGAAGTAAGAGACAGCGAGGGAGAGATAGTGTTTCTAAATTTTTCCTTTTTGTCTGATGGAAAATAAGTCAAGGAGGGGCAAATGAGCACTTAAAGACTTACAAAATAGTTCTTCTGTGTGTGTGTGTGTGTGTGTGTGTGTGTGTGTGTGTGTGTGTGTGTGTGCGTGTGCAAGTGCATGTCGCTGCTGGAACCCCATAGCCTGAATTCAACATCCCTCACCCTGAACAAGTGACAAAAAGATAACCATGTTTCACTTCACCGCTTCACGCCCTCTCTCTCTATCTTACTCACTCTCTTATTCTCTTCACCCCCCTCCTTTCTCACCTCACCCTCCATCTCTCTCTCTCTCTCTCTCTCTCTCTCTCTCTCTCTCTCTCTTTCCACATGGCTGGCCATCCTCTCCCATGTCCCAGAGGATGGGAGGCTGTGCGGCAGCTTGGCAGGCTGTCAGGGGAGCGCCGGAGAGCAGGGAACACGTAGTGACTGGAACGGGGGTGGCGGTGGTGTACTAAAGGGGGGATGTGTGTGTGTGTATGGGGGGTCAGTGGGTATGAAAGCCCTGGCTCCTCACCTCACTGTGGTGCTGGAAGAACTGGCTGTGCTTAGCGATGTTAGGTAAAAGATGGAAAGGGCTGAGGGCGCTACAGAGCCCTTACTTAATGTACCAGAAACATCACTGCAGCACAAGATGGAAATAAGCAACTAAGCTCCAGCTAAGTAACCAACAAGCTTTGTCACTTTAAAATGACCTATACTTATCAAGTTTGTTGCGGAATAATCAATAATAAACAACGTATGCACCAAAAAAAGTGTTTCACCTTCGGCTCACATTGACATTTCTCAATGTTTGTTTTGCAACTACAAAAGGGAGAAAATGTATTCAGAGGAACTGGCAACTTTTCTCAAAAGTTTCACTACCGAGTGGTTCATCTTTTTCAATAGATGATCTTTGCTCTGGCTCTTGACTCCACTATTCTATGGCACTGGAGTACAGGCTCAGCTATATAAGGGCAAGTCTAAAGAGGATGAAAACACTTTAAGGGAAATACGAATATTGTTGGAGCTACATTTAGTAACAAAATATTTCATCACTAACTGTCAAACTAGGCAGTGCTGATCAAATATCAACATTCTCTTACTGCATTGTCTGTTTCTTGCATCATGTTTTCAGAGATATTTTAGTATACTACTTGATTAGAAAATGATAACATTCATGAGCCAGTCATTAGGCGCTTTCACACCGGAGTACTTTTCCCAGTATATTTCCGATATAGTTCAGAAAATGTGCGTTCACACCAAAAAAATCCGGAACTAGAACTTAGTTCATGAGAACCTTTTCACCCCCTTTGCAGTCCCTGCTAGAGAGCAGGTACTTTCATGGGAGAAAGTACCTGCTGTTTGGCTGGGCGGATTGCAAACTGAAGCCAGTCCCCAACTCCGGGGACTTCGGGTGGCAGTATACAGTATGTCGTGAAGTTGTTTGCGGCCTGCCGGTAAACCCAAAGCAGAAGAAGAAGAAGTGACGTCAGCAGCTTCTTTTGCCTAATCCTCCCTAAGGGACTTATTCCGGTGTGAATGCAATCTGCTCTTTAGTTCTGATGAACTAAAGGGTTCTGATGAAGTACGGCAAAGTACTGGGTGTGAAATGGCCTGTTGGGAGCTGCTTGGTTTTGGCTCATCTGTTTTCAACATGATGGCCAGACAGTTTTGTATATAAGATAATATCTATATTATAGATATAATGATGTTTATATTTATAGGATTATCGATCTAATGCACTCCGGTTTGGATATAGTGACAGTTTCAGAAACAAAAACAAAAAGCTTTTTTCAATAACTCACTAAACTGTAAATGCTAACGCTTTTTTGAAAATCAGAGGGAGAATGCCAGTTGGTTTTAAAATGATAAACGGACAAAGCTGCCAGTAGATACAAAATATACAACTTTTTTAACATGAGAAGCTGTTAAAGCTAGAAGGTATGCAATGAAAACACCACTCCCTAATTGATTCCTTAATACGGAGAAGGACTGTGAAAACAACCAACATAATTGAATGCCATAATTGAATACATAAATGTGAGCATCAGAGCCAAAGCTACATGGAAATGTAGAATAGCAATGCTGATGCTAAAAAACAAGCTAGTGCTGAGTGCATTACTAATTGAGCATGGATTTGATACTATAGGCACTGTTAAAGACACAGATACTGTACAGTGATATGGAATGCACGGCATGCTGTATCTCCAATAGATTTCATTTTAAAAGACCATGGGGCGCTGTGACTTGCATTTGTGATAAGTTACTAAAGCACTTTTTCCCTTTGGTCTCCCTTTAAAAATCCTGCCACATCACACAGCAGACTCGTCCCAAAACAACAACATGACACTTTGCCGACCCGCGCTCCCTCCCTCCTGACAGAGAGAAAGGCGAGAGAAAAGATGACAGCAGCTTTAGATCTGACATCAAACGCCGGCGAGAGAGTGAGAAAGAGAGAGGGGAAAAAAACGTGGTTACATCTCTGCCGTGACAGCTTGCTGGAAGAGCCTGGCAAACGCAGAGCAATTTTTCTCTCCTCTCCCTTCTATCTATCCATCTCTTGCTCTGCGTGTCTCTCTCTCATCAAAACTTGCTGCCGATTAGGATCTCGGTAAGCCATGCGCTTTGGATGGGATGCGAAAAACACACGGAGAACCCAAGGGGTAAAACGCCAGGATTAAAGGGGTGAGGGAATATGGGGTGATATCGGCTGCAGTTCAAATAGATCGGCCCCCGCGACTGCAGCGGCTCCTCGCCTCGCCGTGCTCTCTCGCTCCGGATCCACACACTGATACATCAAGGCCATTTCTCATTATAGCACGAGGGTAGAAGAAGAAAAGAGAAAAGCTTTCATGATGCTACTTTAGAGGGAAAGACAGAGAGGGGGGGGTGGGAGGGTAAAGAGTGTGGGAGAATGATAATGAAAGAAAATAAAGGGAAAAAAATGCCAAGATAAAACGGATGACACACTGCTGTTAAGGCGGAAAAACGGACAAAGATGGAGAGAGTGTGTGAATGAGCGAGATAGACAAAAAGGAATCAGTTAGAAATATGACACATAAATCAGCCGCTGATTTGAATCAAATACGAGTCAACTGTCATCGTACTTTATACGACCAATAAACACAGACCTATGTATCAGTAGCAATCTATGGGAAAATAGGGTGGCTTAATTTCAGTTCATACACCTAATTTATCCTTTCTAGCAGTTTATTCCTCCACTCCTGGGGCTCTTCGAAAGTATCTGCTAAATTAAACGGCACACACCTCAAGCAGTGCCAATATTTGCGACCATTTGCAAATGTCTATTTATTCTATTCTTGAAAGTGCTGCGGAGCTGTGAGGAGAGAAATGATAGAGAGTAAAAAACGATTAGTTTAGCCAAAAAACTGGAGCGGCCCACTCCTCTCTCCCCTCATAGATCAGCCTGGCCTCGCCATTTCTTCTCAATTACTCCTCCAGTCAACCTGCTTAAGGATTTTTTAGCTCGCCTAAATGCCAAATGCGAGTGGGTTTGCGTGTGTGACTGCGCGCATTAGCAATAATGTCTGTGTCCGTGCATATGCTTCTGTGTGTGTGGGGGTGTATGTGTGAGTGAGAGCAGGATGCTCCGACCACGGGCTGATGCATGTGGCCTTTTCGCCTTGGGCATGGACGCCAGTCAAAACACAGACATACACTCTGAAATGAGCAATTTAATTCATGTCTCTCATGGGACCAGAGATAAAAAGCTGTAGGCGAGCGGAGGAATGTGATTGGACAGAAAAGCTTACAACAAAAATACAGGAAGTGAAGACAGACAAGGAAACAACTGTTTCTTTGAGGCTTGATGAGGTCTCTCAGAGCTGTCACTCACCGGGAGACTGGATGGGCGGTCCTGGGGGACGCCATCCTCGTTGTTGACCTTCCCAGAGTTCCCTGGGGCTGGACCCCTAGGGCCATACGTCTCCTGCTGGGCCTCCTACACACAAACAGACAGAGAGCGCGGGTCGGCAAAGTGTCATGTTGTTGTTTTGGGACAAGCCACTTTTATTTATAAATAAATTCATAGGATTCATTTGACTTTTTCTTCACAATATTTGTAAGTTCTGTGAGGGATTCTTGATTAGATATTTCATATAGTGTCATAAACACACATACGACAGTACAAAAACCTCTGAACATGCAAACATTAAGTTAACTGGTGCCATCTTTATTGATCTTACCAAAGCTTTTGATGTTGTTGATCGCTATTTACTACTTGATAAATTATATGCTATTGGACTTTCTAGAAGTGCATTACTTTGGTTTAGCTCATATTTACATAATCGAAAACAGTGTGTTATTTTGAATGGGAAAAGTTCTGATCTCCTTATACAGCATAGTGGAGTACCTCAGGGCTCTACACTTGGACCACTACTTTTCACCATTTATATAAACAATTTGCCCTCCATTTTTCAAAACTGTAATGTTCATCTATATGCAGATGATACCGTTATTTACACATCAAAACCAAATCTCTCTCAAATTCAAGTTTCACTCCAGTCAGATTTCACCCTCCTGCAAGACTGGCTATTCCAGAACAAGTTACTTTTGAACAAAACTAAATCCTTCTCTATGATCTNTCTTGGGACCCCCTTGAAAACGAGGTGATTCACCTCAAGGGGTTTATCCTAATAAAGAAATTTGAATATATAAACATCAGCACAACACCAATTCATTTCAACGATATCCGGGCCCGACTACCCACTAATCCTTGAAAAAAAAAGAAAAACACACACATACAT